TTGTGCAAGACTTTCTTTACTGTCCGCTAGAAAATGTAGAGTGGGTCTATGATCCCACTGCAGGCCCACACGTTATGTAAACAGGCTGGCTGGATGCATTAATATGTATTGCTTTGGAGCAATCCGTGTGGGGAGGATTCTTATGTATTGCTGTTGAATGTCGTATCTAAATTAAAACCATATTGATTCATATAAGATGAATAAACTGCAAGAAGAGCAAAGTTGAAAGACGTAACTTCAAACCATTGAACAATTAATACACAGATCCATAATTTATCCTTTGAACAAACATTTCCGAAAATCCCATAATTCCAACAAGATCCAAACACAGACTAACAAATACATTCTACAAAAATTCTGGTGCGGAGCTGCTGTCACACAACTTTTACTTATCACCATACTAACAGTAGAAATAGGTATTTGAATATTATGAGAAGCGAAAGTAAAAATTACATACGGTGTAATGAGTTCATTTAAAACAATTATACCACATTTTTTCCCACTCTTCGTAATTCTTAAATTTGTACGTTTGCGTAACTTTCCATTTTCTTTTACGTCTATATATATCTAATAAAATATATATATATATATATATATATATATATATATATATATATATATAATAATAAAATTAATCATTGCCAGGAAATGGGAATCTGTCGGAAATTTCTAAGCTTTATCCAAATACATGTCAGGGAATTTCTTGAAAAAAAAAAGAGTTATTATTAGTATATATTGTACGTTATTAGTAAATACTCAATATTTCACGAGAATATCTTTTTGAAAATCATACGTAAACATTCTATAAACGATTACTAAGTAATGGTCAATAATATTATATAAGGTACTAGATCTTCAATCTAAGTTTTCTTATTTGATTACATGTGTAATAAATATATTTCAAGGTGTTCATACATGAGTGTTATGGGTGAAAATTACAATACATTCCTATTTTCACTTCCTGTTTATAATTCATTTATGTCTACTAAATATTTTTTTTCTGTTTATTATGTTAGATTTTTATTCCATTTTCCTCATATTAAAAACTAATTTGTTGTTAAACCTTTAAAAGCCAAGTGATTCAGAATCAGTGTATTTTATAATATTATAACACCAAAACATGAAATTATATATATATATATATATATATATATATATATATATATATACATATATATTATAATATTATAAATTTACTGAATAAGGTTATTGTGTTACAAACAACCAGCACTCCTAACAAAATCCAGAAAAATATCTTTAAAATAATAACAAGAGAAAATTATTTACATCAAAACAAATTATAGATGAAATTCCAAATCAGGCTTTTAAATAACGAAAAAAGTTCATTCATAATTAATTGTGGGCATTGCAATCTGTTCTGGTCTTAAGTTTGATAAGTAAGTAATGCCGATAAAAGAATTTAGTCATTTCCTCTTAATGTTGCCTACCCTTCATGCACATCTTATCAAACTTCCTCCAATCCTGTTTCGCAAAATTAAAGTTGGAAAATTCCGCACAGATAACTGAATCCCGCCAACGTAATTAAGACCATACTTAGAAATCTGAATGAAACAACGTTTGAGTGAAACGACATAACTTGAGTTATTTTAATAATATCAGATTTTTATGAAATTAACAGTTTTTGTTTATCCCTGGATTTTACCAGTGAATCCAACTGCATCTATGCCTTAATTCGTACAAAAAAAAAAAGTACATTTAATTTAATTTAATCTTCTAATAGAAAACATGATTTATTTCAAATTATTTTGCATCCTTCTGCGAGTACATATATGTACAACATTGATTGGCTACACACCAACAACGCAGCCCACCTTATGCATCACTTTTTCTTAGGGAGATCCTGGAAAAGTAGCCATTGTCTTCTACCGTCCCTGACCCGATTCCTGATGGAAAGAATGTAGAATTAACGAGAAGAAAGAAGAAGTAATTAGTCAAAGAATACGTTATACCGTGGGACAACGGCACTAACTGCGCATCATGTACCAAATGTGAGATTGCTGATCCACATACAACAAGAAACCATGGTTTTGAGAAGTGGATTACGGAGTATGGATTACTGAGTATGTAATTAAAACCAGGGTTTTGATGTGTTAAAAAGGCTGTATACATCAATAAAGAGGAAAATGATAATAATATAATATTAACAAAACTGATAATACTAATATATTTGATCCGAAAGATGTAGCACTAAGGATGAAAGAAATATGTGCGAAAGGAAGGCTGATTTTGTGATTAATTCTGATTATTGTGAGTAATCGGAATTATTATAATTAATCTAATTATTATTCGCTATTAATAATATTAGGTATTTTTATTCTTATTTGTTGGGTATATATTATTTTTCAGTGTAATTTATTTTTATTTATTGTACATAGAGTGTGAATGTGATCTCTGAAAACTATTATAAATTTTATTATTTATACTATAGACAGATTGTAATATTTCTCAATAAACGAGTTAAAAAATGAAAAAATAATATTAGGAATTTCTCATTTAGATTAATATACAACTGCTATCAGATGCTTAATGATTTAATAGATTAGAACATGCTTTATCATTTTAATATTTTATAATTGCATTCTCAACGTTTGTGATTACTTCAGTACTTACCAAACAAACGCTCTAAGCTTCCAGTTAATTACAAAGGCTCATATACATTACTACAAATATTAAGACTTACGGAGTTGAGCTATGGGACTCCACTAAGTCATCGAATTCCTCTCGTATACAATCCTTAGAATTAAAAATCCTCCGTAAAGCCCTCAATGCTCCTTACTTTGGCATAAATAAAATCATCCATAACGAAGTTAATGTCCGTTATGTTTCTGATCTGGCCCAATCCATACCCATCCTTCCATAACAAACTTCAGAACCATCTGAACCCTCTCATTTCTAAACTTGCTTCCTCTTCGATCCCCGATAACCCTCCGAGGCGTCTGAAAAGATCTTTTATTGTAAATACATTTTTACAGTGCTACCAGTGGGTAGTTTCTGAATAAGTGGTTTCATGTTATTCTATTATTGAGTTCATATTTATTAAATTTTCTTTTATTTGTAACACAGTATTATAAATAAAAAAATAAACAAAAATAATTGCATTAACAATTACATTTTTTTTCTACTAAATTTTCCTTCAAATTTCATGGGATGGACCGTAATGGCAAACGGGTAATAATCTTTTTATTTTTTAGATAATTCTTTAGAAATTTCCCGTTAGTTAAATATCAACCCAAACCTCATAAGTCTTTGGCATTTAGCCAAATTGCAAGTCATCACGAACATCATACTAATTACACTAAGAAGTGATGAAGAAAATTCTTAACGGTCTGCAGTGTATTAAAACAATGTCTCGTTATAAAAATTAATATTAGAGTCATTAAAAGAAAATCCTAGGAAAAAGAGCAGAATGTTCGCCATTTCCTGACTTAACCGCGCATCCAACATAACGAGGCCATGGGAAAAGAGCAAACAATGACAACTAAAACTAGTTTCTGTCTTGTTATTTTTTATAAAGAACGTCATTTAGTTTCTCTATTAAAAGCTACTCAAATCCTAGTAAAAGTTTTCAGTAGGGATGTTACACTTCAGCGCTAGTTAGCAAAGACCGAAAATTTATTTGAATTGGATTTTATTGTTACATAAGAGATAACATTGACTTAAGATCAATAAATGAATTCAGATGAAAGATTTATGATTACTCCTAATAATGGAACACATAATCACATCAGAATGATTAGTACAGCTCTATAAGAAAGCTATTCAAACATGACAATCGAGATGAGATATCCGGAGATGAATGTCAAAGCTAATGTAATTAGCATACAGATGGTTGTCTACGCCTTCCATCTGGCACTAGATGCATTGACTGCACTACGATAGAGTCGATAAGATGGAAATAGTTGCAGAAGAACCGCTAGTTACAGAACTCGGAACAATGGAATGAACAGTTAAGACAGACGCTTGTTATTCGGATGTTGTCTTGAGCTGGAGGTGTTCGAAGAACTTGATGGACACAAAGACAGCCGGAGGCATGGGCAAGCATCTTCGACAGCCATAATCTTTTACCGGCTCTGTCATTGTCAGCTAGCGTTTACACGTCGCCATGCTGTTGTACGTTTCAACGGACATGTAAACTTTGAGCGGTACAAAGCTTCAAGAAAGATAACAGCAGCTGAAGATTTTAGAATAAACAATCGTTACTTTATTGTAGAAGTCATACTACTTAGAGACAATACAAAAAGTGCGATAAGAAGTAACATTTAATAATAAAGTTGAAGTCATAACTAAGAATTTCATAGAATAGCATAAAACACCGGTATTTCATACCCGAGTTGAAGTTATTACAACCAGAAGATAAGCAAAGAAATAAAAATTGTAGCTATAGGCGGTCCGAAAAACCATTTATTTATTTCTGTATTTTCCTAAACACCGGATTATAAATAATGATATTTATCACATAGCAGTTTAAATTATGAAAAAAAGTTTTATAAAAAATATCTAGAAATTAAAGCGCTCATAAACCTATCAACTACTTAAATGAGAATAAAGAAAAGGAATTTTCCATTGCGAGGCAATTAATAACATTTCGTCACTCAAAAGGTTGGCAGCAATCTAGATATTGTGTGCATTGAGATATGGGCAAACAGGAAGTGGAGAACAATGCGCAATATTCACGAGAAGAGAAAACTCCACCCTTATCATGGCATGTTCTCTTATTCAAACATAGTTGCTACCCATTATTTATAGACCTGATATTAATTCCTTCAGCTGTCACCAGAGGGGCGGTGACAACTAATCTGTTACATGCAATGTGTTAATAAAAAAAAAAAGTACCGTTTATATCAGCTCCCGTGGGTGGACAGATATAGCACCGGGGAGGAGCGGCAAGGAGGAGGCGACGGCGCTCTGAATAATAGTTGAACAGATGTCCGCGGGGGCAGCACATTCGGCGGTGGATGTCACCAAGGCATGTGCCGCTAATGGAACCCAACTGTCGCCGGAGATTCGTTAGAGCTTCCGCTTATTGGCGACGGGATGGACGGGATCGTCTGGGATCGGAAGAGGAATCCCCTCCGACCCGTCAATCTCAACATAAATACCTTTTCCTAGCGATATGCTCTTCCACACACTTAAGACCAACAAGAAAAATCTACTAGCGTTATGATATCCCTCACCGATAATATCGACAGCACTCTAAACGAATCTTACTTTCGAGATACGCATCCTCACAAGTCGATGGCGTTACCCTCCTCCTCTCACAAAATTTTATTGCTCTCCTGTTCTTTAACAATAGTGCTAGCGAAAGTTAAGTTAGCAACATTGTAGTTATATACTATTACTCTTGTTATGGTCTGGTCCATGTTTCACCCCTTGTTCCCGTTTTGAAAGATCCTCTAAAATGAATGCTCAAAAAACTATGGTTCCTCTGAAAATTCGTAAGTACGTCAAAATGTGCCTTCCGCAAATATTTTGATGGCGCACCTTGCGGCCACTCGCGCCTCTTCATAAAACCCTTTAAATTGTTTAACAAATTTTAAGCTGTCTTTATCTTCAAAAAACATCTCCTATCATCTTTGCGTAAATTAATGAAATGGTAGATTCAGTTTCTCCTCTTGCTAGACAATTTTTTTTTTTTTTTTGGGTTCTTCCCTTCCTCGTCTTTAAGGCTATACGAGATTTTCCCAGGCCAGGGGGTGTGGACTGGGATTTAAAAGACTCGTGACTATTTTAAATCCATTATATCATAGATCAGGTTGCCAGGCAACGCTGGTGCTGTGCACACGTTAGCCCGTTCGGTCACCCCGCCCACGGGTATTCTGTGCAACTTTAACCTACTCTTATTTCTTTCCGCTTCAAGTTTTAACTTTCCTATATTTTCCTTCTAATTTGTCTCAATTTATCTTTTGGATTCATAAATTTGTAATACTTAAATAGTCAGATTGCTGACCTGGGTGAACCCATAGTATTATATCTTAATTCATTTCTTATTTATATGAATATTTTACATGATAGCTCACTATTAGAAAGCAACAGGCATTGTAAATACAAGAGCACGATATAGAGCTTATATTGAGGAGTAAGAAAATATTGGATAGGCAGGCGAAAAAACAGGAATTATTGGTTTTTTTTCTTTTTATTTCATTTTAGTTGTAGCCCGTATGAACTATGATTATGAAGGAAAATACAACTAAAAAGATATTAACATAATACCAATACCCATTCAGAATAATATCATGTTCATTTAGTTTATTTTATAATAGCCTAAATTGGATAAATATTTTTTTGTTTTAAAAGTTTCAATATCTGTCTTAAACGACCAGACTTTACCCTACCCCCAAAAAATAATAAGGTGGCCCTCCCTTCTCCAAAGTGGGCATTGCCTTGGCTTTATTTAGGCTTAAGCTTAGGTCATATTAGGTATGTTTTTAAATTTGTTTGAATGTTTGTTTTCTTTTCTTTTCTTTTTGTTCATTAGCGAAGAAAATATTGTCCCTCGTTGAGACATGCAATGTAGCACCCTTTTAAAGCGGAAGATGTATAGACTAATTACAGAAGATGTCCGCTCTACAAGCCGAGACTTCCAGCAAAGAGGGACACCGCCCCCGTATCTTAAGGAAAGGACGTCCCTTATCGCGAAGAACCGAGCTGTGCCAGCACATCCCGCCACTATCTTATCCGTCGATAGCAGGTAAAAGCTTTAATTATTGAAAGCCACTTACCCTCTAATTGAGTCTCTGGACTATATATAGGCCGTCCGACACGGTTAATGGCTACATCCGACCCTCCGTCGAGGGTATACGACTTGGAAAATCCATTCGGGTAATGAGGAAGCCCCAATTGTTGAAGATAGGGGAACTCACGAACAACGAAAACTTAACGAACGACAGTTAACTTAATCAAATTAAATGGAATAGTGAAAAATATTAGTCCCTGGTACAGACCTATTTTCATCAAATTATTAACGTCGTCAACGTGAATAGTTTCATCTCATCGTAGGCGACAAATTGTTTATTTAATTAGGTACTAAAAACTCATGAAGATCCATTCGCTCTCCAGTTGAATCATAAGATAATTTGATCACGAAAACGAGAATAAAGGTGGCCTACATAGGTATTGTGGCGGTTGGTGTGACTTCTACTCGCAACATGTCAAAATAACTGAATTACATAGGCCAAACGGCAAAATATTTTTGTAAGTCACTTTATTTTTTCAAACTAAGATAATAACAAGATAATATTTTGTGATCAAATTATCTTACGATTGAAGTTGAAACCAAATGGGCATTTATGAGTTTTTAGTACTCAATTAATTTACTTAATTTGATGAGAAAACGCCCCATTTCTCAGAATTTTCGTCTAGGCCATTGTTGATAATTTGATAAAAAGGAGTCTGTACCACGAACTAAATACAATTGAATAAAAATGTGAATTGTAATAGATCAAAATATATGACTATGAAATATATAGAATGAAAAATATATCTTTTGGAAAGTAAAACTATCAGTAAATCAATGATTAATGCTAGGAATAATTCGAAACCAGTAACACGACTATCGCATTAGATATAATGTATAAAAAAAAAATATTGGATTAATAACTTGAAAAGTGTGAACCAGTTACACTTCCTGTTTTAACGTTGAGTGTAACGATTAGTCAACAAAATATACCATAAAAATGAGCCTTCTTCCTTCGGTATACGTTGAACAGTTTTGAGGTGATATTCTAAATAATCAGTTTTCTTAGGATGTTGAGCGATGTGCAATACCTCAATATTTAAGTCTGGATCCATGATAAGTTGAAACATTGACAGATTAGTTGTTTACTGTAATGAGAATGATTTGAGACTTCATTTTCATGTAACTTTACCCTGATACAAAGCACCTTTCTTTTTCCCAAAGGACATAACTCTCTTATATAAAACTATTAAACTGTCATATTATTGACAAATGTAGTTTTTAAATAGATTTTATTTTTCATGTACTGTGTCAACATTTATTTTCCTGAATTCTCAGCTCGTGTGCTAAAATTTAATGGGAAAGATATTATCGAAATGAGCTGTGGTTTGATCTAGTTTTATTACAAATTATTATTTTATACATTTTGAGGTTTAGTGGCAATAATCTCCTCAAACTCCACCTTTTATTTTCATACTTGTAATTGGAACTGAAATCATCCACAATTATTTTTACTGAAACCGGAATAACAAAATAATAAAATATTTGTAACGGCGTCCAATAAAGATGTCAGTTGCATAGGTTACATTTTCAGATAGGGACCAATAACTAAAACAACAAAGTCGGAGTCACGGATGGATTTTCATTTCCAAACTAATTGTAAGTTACGAATTCACTTACCCGTCCCGTTTCTCATTTAATCCTAAAACTTCCACGCTTCAGCGAATCGGAAGGTTTTGCGTCATATGGAACGTATTCATACCAAAGCGCTTTCATTAACCCAATTACAGGGCTCAAAAACAGGAGGTACAAAAGACAACGGCGGAAGTACGGAAATATATTCCGATGCGCCAGTTCTGTTTTCCGGGACAGATGTGTTTGGATTGAAATCCGAAGAGGGGTTGGAGAAATGGCATGGGAAATCAGAAATAGATCTCCGGCAAACACAAACATCCTCATAACTGCTCTCCTGCCCCGCAAACAACAGCGCTTCCTATTTCTATTATCTCGAATTAGACATGCCTTGAACGTTTGTGCACTTGAGGAGCGGTGTTCGGTTACTGTATACAACTCCAAGTGGATCGTGTATGATGCAAGCTGCTGTAGTTCGGCAGCTCAGTCGAGAACATGGCCATGTTGGAGTGGGTGCTATTTCAACAACAAATGAAGAAAACGAATGAAATCATACATGAGCTATTATGTCTATCAGCACTGATGGACCCAGGATTTAATTTTGGAGAGGAGCTTCAGCCCGAAAGATTTTTATACATGTATATAACGATAATTACTTCGGAAGAAACAATGGAACCAACTACCTTTATATGAAATGGTATTTAAGTGATTCTTTAAGTCCTATTAAATGTAATTACATGAACAATAATACTTTTAGAGATAAACAGAGTTATATTTTACTATTTTGGGGAAGGAGGGAGGCTTCAACCCGAAAGCCCCTCCCGTAGATCGGCCTGTCTATCCACAATGATGAATCCTAATATTATACATTGTAATATAACTTCACATCCTGAATTATTACAGTATTTTTTTTTTTTTAAGATTCCTTAAAACTCCAAATAGAAAATTTTTAATCCAGTTTATCTTCCTTCCCACGTGTAAAAATTGTATTGAAGGTTCAGCCATACAAGTAACAAAGTAAAAATAAATAAATTAAATTCATTGTTTACGACGTTTCTGCCCAAGGTTCAGGTCCTCATCGAGGCTAAGAAAAGACCAGATAAAATAGATATGAGAAACTAGTAGACGATAATAATTTGTAGGTAAAAAGTATATTCTAATAACTTGTAAATATAAAAATATCGACTCGAATTCCTGACAATTTTGCTTCATTCTTATGATTGATCACGTGAATACTTACCGATCTCTAAAGTTATTCATCTTAATTTTATCCTACCAGCAAGTTATTAGATTATACCTTTTACCTAAATATTATTACTACTTTCTCATATCTGTACTATCTCGTATTTTCTAAGCCCTGATGAAGGTCGGCATCTTGGGCCGAAACGTTGGCATAAATAAATATAATATATTTATTTTTACATTGTTACTTGTATGACTGAACACCCCAACCAACTTCTCTTCAAATATATCTACGATAGTCAATCATTAATCCACTATCCTAAAAATTTTATATCAGTGCCTAACCATAAATATTATTTACTAATTCTTTATTTATCCATTATCAAAGTCTGCACACGTGAGCATCGAACAAGGGGTAGAAGTCAGAGCTGAAATTAACACTAATGTCGCCTTTTTGACTAATGACATACCACATCAGTAAACTTTTTGTGTTTGTCCCGTTTAAATATATTTATATTTAATATAAATATATTTAAATATACATAAATCCAAATTGTACAAGATATAAAATGAAATAATACTAAATTATGATTTAATAAATTATTAGCATACTAACGTGCAACGTTCAATTTGAATATTACTATATCATGATTCAACAAAATAAATAAATAAAATAATGTAAATACATACAATGTACGGTGCGCGTACGTATATACTGTAACATACCAAGTCCCAATCGGAAGCACCCACAAACGCTTGCTATTAGTAAAATAGACGTGATGCAACAATTATGGCTTCCGTTAGGTTCTGGTTCTGCTAGTTCCAATTTGGTCGGATGAGATAACTGGCTCAAGAAGTTCTGGATTCCGCGGGATTATTGCATCGAAAACATCGCAGAATAAAACATAATTACATGAAATGTAAAATATAACATGTTATTGGAATGAGAGATTTTGTTTTTAATTTGTGTATTTGTCAATATCTCCAGGTTCATTCGTTTCATATTCGTGTATATGTGCGTATGATAATTTAAGATTATGGTCAAGTTTTAGTAATATGTCGAGAGGAATACAAAAATCTCTAATTCGGTAAGGTGAAAGCAGAAGGAAAATTAATAACATATATATTGTCTATGTGGAGGAAGATTTAATTTAGTACTACTCAGTTTATTTAGTTTTAATTAATATATTTTGCAGTCGGAATCCGAGGTGAATAAATCCGGAATTTTTTTTTTTGAATAAACAAACCTAATAACGTGAAAAAAAAACTTCGTTTACTAAACATGATAGATTAACATTTCTGACTAAAAATAAATAAAAGCAATTTTTACACCCTCCCTCCTCCTTTCTTCCCTCTCTCCCTCCCCAGAAAATGCAAGAGTAATAGGGAAGCAAAATGATGCTACCATCTAATAATATTACTTGGATGACGCGTCCCTTGTCATCCTCCCACCTTCGCATTCCTATGGTGTCCGTTTAGTCATTCCATCAAACTGTCATCAGTATTAGATTAAAATAAATTTTGATTTTATCATCAATATTCGATTTATTCATTATACCTTAATGATAATAAAATTTAAAAAAAATAATTTTCGCGCTAGGATTATACATTTAATTATAAATGGATTATTAATTAATGAATTAATTTCCAGAATAATTAAACTTTATTAACGTGCTAAGCATGGCCATAAAAATAAACCTATCAATATATTTACTATATACATACTTATTTCAATTAAACTATGAGATGTATTGAAGAGAAGTTGGTTGTGGTGTTCAGTCAGAAAAATAAAAAGTAAAAATAAATAAATATAAGTAATATAATAAAATATAAATAAACACAATTTATCTATTTTTCTGACTGAACACCACAACCAACTAGTCAATTTTCACAACAGTCAATCATCAATCCACTATTACGAAATATTTTGATTATGAAAAAGGCGTTATTAAATTTGATACTAACATACCTTTAAGGTATAATTTTCACAAGTTTATTTTTTATGCAAACAAGCTCACAACAGTTCAAGTTAATATAAAATAATTAATATGCTACGATAATAGTGCATTAAATTAACGTGTTACTTAATAAGGAATATAAATATAACCATGGTCGAAAGGTTTTGCACTTGATAGTCCATGGTACAGACCCCATTCTATCAAATTAGCAATATCCATCCAAAACTTCGCGAATGTTTCCATCTTATCGTTACCAACTAATTTTTTATCAGCGCAAATTTTTAGAAATGTTTTATCATTAAAATAATTAATTTAATGATGTATACACATTTTCAATCCACTTGTATTATAAGAAAATTTGATCACAAAATAGAAAAAAAGAAAAAAAAGTGACCTACAAAAACATCGGATAGTTTCGCCTATGTAACCCCATTATTTCGAGACGTTGGGAGTGGAGGTCATACCAAACAGCAAAATATTTCTGTAGGCCACCTTTTTTCTCGATTTCGTGATCAAATTATCTTAGAAAGAAAATGGATATTCATGAATTTTTATTAGTACCTAATTAAATAGTGTATATAGGTATGACTGTGTTTTTATATTTTTAATTTACTTATCTTTAGGTTATTTTATTTTTTATTGTACATAGTTGTTTGATTATTATTTAGTTATTATTTTACTTGTGTTAATTTTATGTTTTCTGTATATTTGGTGTGAATGTGTTCAGATCTCACTATAATTATTGTCCAAGTGACAGATTATTATATTTTTCAATAAATAAATAAAAACCGTAATTTATATGCACACTAGTAATTAATTTTGTTGAATGTTTCAATGCCATTTATTTGTATTAATATAATTATCAATGATGCTCAGATTTAGGCTGTCTAGATGTGAACATGATTTCCAAATTATATATCATGTGGTGTGAATGTGTTCATGTATCACTATAATTATTGTCCACGAGACAGATAATTATATTTCTAAATAAATAAATGAAATTTTAAAAAATAAACAAAGTTTGCCGACCTCCAGATTGAAAACGCCCCAGTTCCAAGAATTTTCGTAATTAAAAAAGTTATAAGTTATGATGAGATGAAGATATTCACGAAGTTTTAGGTTGATGTTTATAATTTGATAAAATGGGGTTTGTACTACAGACTATGAACCTCGATTAAAGAAAATCGATTGAATTTGAATCGATTACAGAAAAAAAATTGAAAACTTCGATTATACGAGCTCAATATTCCGAAAGAAATATTGTCACAATTTTCACTCGAACCTATAAAAAGGCTCTCTTCTCTGTTACTGTTTCAAGAAATTATCCGCACGTTTTACATCGATTGAAATTAATAAAAATCTGACTTCCTTAATTATTTTTTTAAATTTAAATTTTAAATGTAATCTTAATTAGTAACTACTTAAACATTACTTATCTAATGAAGCTGAAATTTGATAATTTAAATAACATGAACGTTTTTCTACCATAAAATTACATCATCAAGTATTAAAATAATACTATAAAGTTCTATATTTTCTAAGTTAGATTAACTAAGAAGTAAAAAAGGTAAAATAACACATTTGAACATTGATAACATAAAGTTTTTTATTTCTAAATTCATTCCTATTTCTTTTTTATAATGGACAATTATTGATTATCTCGATCTAAACTTTTATCTTGAACCTAACAGTTATAACATGTAAGACATTTTAACAGAATTCTAATTTTTTTTATTTTTTCGTAAAAAAAATATCGTTTACTCTCGAGTTAAAATAGTCCTATGAACGCCAATGAATAAACAAATATCTGAATGAATAGACAAATATGATTAAACTAAATGCAGTATCCGTACTGCTTCCGGCAGTGCCAGGTAAAAAGCCCTGAAGGAGACCTACAACGTAGTTCGAAACGTTGGATAATCTAATAAAAAATACTATTTTGTAATATAGTATTTAATATACCGCACCCTTCTACGGTGCACGGAATCTACTGTCAACCATCTCCATGTCATTATTAATAAATAAATAATTAATCTAGAGCAAGGTTCAATTTTAGTATATGAGTGTTTACCACTACACCGATGATGTATTAGTAAATGAAAATTATTATTTAACCTACACTCAACTGAGTATCAATCAAAGCAAATACAAAATATAATAACAAATGCATCTTGGAATTTTAGTTGATTCTTTGCATCGTGACACCTCAAGATGAAGAAGAAAAGCAACGAAATCAATATTTTGATACTTTGAGATGACAGTTGAAGTTCATATATAAGAACCAGTAAACGAGATAATATTCTATTCGATTTTTCGGTCAATTATTTTCAAAGAACTTTTACGTCCGATCCTCAAGCTTAAGCGTTTTAGATTACTTCTATGACCTTTCTTTGTTGTACTTTCACCTTGAAAAGTTCAACTGTAATAATGGTAATAATATTAAATGAAGTGAGTGAAATGATATTCAACAATAGTTTTTTTTTTTTATTTTCATTACCTCTTTAAGGGGAGAACATGAACAAGAGTACACATTTGACTATTTTTGCCGGTCGACCAAAATGAAAAAAATATTAATTCAAGAAACCTATTCGAATTTACGAGAAAATATAAACAATTTCTTGAAACATAATGATCAATGAAGTTATTGAAATCATGCACGTTACTGTCATTGAGAATGTCTTGCAACGCGATCGAATCGGCATTGACATCTCCAATGGAGGTCATTCATTCTACTTTCGCTGTTAATAAAGTTCATTGCTATGCGTATTTGGAGCGGAGAACATGTAACATAATACACATGTAAACATGTTATATGAAACAAGAATGTCTGGAATGTGACACGGTATCCCCGGAGAAGACAGATACACCATCGGTCATGATACGGTTGTGATTTCAAACAGGTAAGACGAGATGTCGATGGGAGGATACAGTAGCCTATTATTAAAAAGTGGGCTGAGGAATGTAATAACGTCACTGTATATCATCGTATATGCACGTGAATATATTGTTTCATAAAAAAAAAAAAACTTTTTAAGTTCAACAGCAATGGTGTTATCATTGTATCTATCTTCAACTGTAGTGACCCGATTTCAATACTAAATTTACAGCTAGCTATAAATAAGATCTGATAAAACTCTTGAGGTAGTTGTGCTATTTCAACTGTAAACAAACGTAGGCATTTTATGTTTTCCGAAGTGAATAAACACATCTACCGGTTTGTGTACATTTGCGGGCAGCAAAATAAAGATCAAAAGATTGGAATTAAGATAACTTTAAGTCGTGTAGAAAGATTAACCAGAAGTATGTTGTTTTTACGAGAAGTAAAAAAAATAAAATAAAAAATCGTGCAGCACTAATTTGATTTTTGTCTGGCAACAAAGAAAACATAAAAATAAAATATTAACTATATTATTTAAAGCTTAGGCCTATAATAATAAAAGTTCAAGGAATGCTAAAGCTACGACGAAATATTTTATAAAATACGATTATCACAACAAAATAAATTTAAAAATATAAAATAAACAACAAAACACGATGGAGGTTAGCTAAAAAAAAATAATGTAGTCATGACTTATTTCTGTAATCAATATATATATTTATACTTTTTTTTTGCATTCTCTAGACAATTTACTGCTCAATTATGTAAAATTGCGTTGAATAAAACTTGAATAGAATACAATATAGTAATAAATTCTCAATAGGACTACGTCGAACAAAGGTTGTCATCGTTATATGAATAGAGACTCTTACATAAATTAGGTCGTACCAAGTGTCGTGCATAAATTGTAACAGATACTGATATAAACATTGCAAGGAAGATATAGGATTGAGGCAAGAAGTTGTTACTCCTCATGCAGGGAGATCGCTGTATTTCAAGATACGATTTCCATATTTAAACCGAAATTCAAGTTAGGTATTAATTCATAAGTTGTTGTTTATTTATATTTTTTTCTTAACTGTTCAATTCTCTGAATTGTATTTGTTTACTTTTTTTCTGTTTCATTGGATTGGATATCCTTTATTTATATTCATTTCAGTGTGGGTCCACCATAAATACAAAACGTATACACTTTATGTTTGCAGCTAAAAGAACTTATACAAGGAGCTGCCGATGGCGAAAAAAAATTGTTGAGTCCAAACAATTTCATATTTCTCCGTCTACACTTACACTCCATCAATTTTACAAAAGAAGACAATCCCTGGACAACATTCTATAAACCCTCTGTCATTATAAAATATATTATTTCTTTTTCACTTGAGATTTCTTAAACAACTTTTTTTTTTTTTTAACAATCAACAATCGTAACCCCGGTCTTTAAAAAATCTTAATTTATCGTAATAAACTCGTACGAATTACTTGAACCTTAGCACAACGAATCATCAAATCTCGCTGTATATGCAAGACAATAAACGAGCTATTTTTTTGATATTAGATTTTAGTACTAAAAATAATTTAAATGAAACAACTCAATATTTATTTATTATATATTACTCGAGTCCACTGCCTTGAGATCCCCTTGTATATCTTGTTCCTACTAGGAAAATGAAATCGATCCCATTCCGATCAGGAACTGAGAGCAGTGACTTTCCACACGATCCTTCCATAGTTGGAGCGAAACTACGGCATAGTGCACGAGACTATCTCGCCTCTTCTTCTACAATACAGGGGAGGTTCCGGCTGCCGGGTTCCAAGGAGGACAACTTCTTCCGAGGAGACCTCAGAGAGACTCCAGGGCGGGGTTTCACCACTTCATGAAGAGTAGAAGGCATTTAAGAAACTAGATTCGTGGGAAGCTGTTCCATATACACATCCCAAGGTAGCTGCCGCAACCCACCGAATTTCCGATTTCGAAACTATTGGAGGCGTTTAAGAGTTTAGCAATATGTTAAATGTTCATCTGTATCGATAAATTAGTTTTAACTGATAATATATGTTTCACAGAGCTACTTAAGTGTACATCAACAAGTTTAATATATATCAATATATCGATAATGATTAGCCTGTTTTTCGTCGTGAATTACCGGATGGTACCAAAATGTAGGTAAGCCTGGTTTCGTATAATAATCGGATAAGAAACAAATTCCACGCCAAGAATCAATTATATCCGCATAAAATCAGAAGTAATCTATTTTTCAGAGCTATCTTGATACAACTGCCAGAAAAACACAAAATAATTGATTTTTTTTTAACGTGGAAAATTGCTAAATTTAATGTATATTACATGCCTGGACGAAAAGTATTTTTAAATACAAAGTGCTATGTTTTTCTAAAATACTACTTTTATTAACCTAATATTTTTATAATATTATTCGTACTACTTTCTTTTAAGTTACTTAATTATTTAATTTAATAAATAAAATTATATTTTAGAAATGCAAAATACTTGGTATTTTAAACAAAGTATTTTAAAATACTTTTTTATCCAGGTCTGGTATATTATAAACATAAAAATCTATGTTTTTTTATTTATTTGTTTTATGTAACTGCTGATCGTTCCTCCATTTCTGCGAAATTGTATAAATGTAGAGAAATACATACAAGAAGATTAAGTCCCCATTTAAGAAAGATAAACCCGCTCACAGGCACTTGCATGCGCGAGGTAGAGCCATTTACTTATGAAAATAAATAACAAGAGAATAAAATAAAGTAAATAAGTAATAGTCATATTAAATTACAGGAGATAAAATCAATATTAGGAACAATAAAAATGATAAAATATAAGACAATCAGAATTCGAAAGAAAAATTTTCAATTCATATATATATTTTTTTGTTCATCCTTAAAAATAGATCTATTGCTGGTACACTTCTGAATGGATGAAGGCCGTATTAGTCGATAGTAGATGAATTCAATCACATCTTTATTGAGAAATATTACAATCTGTCACATCCAAGGATACTAGTGAAGTGATAAAGAGTAGCTCATTCACAATCTATGTACAATAAATAGAAATAAATTAAACAGCAAAATAATAATACTACAAGTAAATATAAATCAACAAAAAGAAATTAAACTACTCAAAATAACTACTTAAATACACACGTGCTTTTATATAATATGTACAAAACCTCGAGATCTCCGAGCTCAGACTTTTCCCTCAAGTCGTGGAAGGAAAGGCAGGGCTTTAAGAGATCCTAGCGCCTCTCACTCAGCCGCATTACTGGCGGTAAATGAAAAAAATAAAATTATATTGTCATGTATTTATTAGTTTCCTTTCTCATTCTAGAGCTGTGTTAAAAAAGATTAGGGAGTAAAATTATACTGTGAAGCAGTATTACAATCGTCAGCAAGAATCGATATTAATCCTTACGTAAGGTATACTCAGAAAAGTTCACCACTAATCAACTATTGTCAGGAAATCGCTGAGTGGTGATTTGTCGCTATTGCATTTTCTTCGAATGTCATTGCTAACAACAGCCTGCCCTTAGTTTACACAGTCGCTGATAGGTTTCAGTTCTCACGTGCTCAATAGATAACTCAATAATGGCGATTCGACTCAAGGTTCTATCACGGTTCTGAGCGGCTCTTAGGCAAACAGACATAAATCTGGAACCCGAATTCAAAGGACTGGGAACAGGGGAATAAAGGAGAGGAAGTAGCGGTGCAGGTCTGTGAACGACTTCCGGGGGAGAACAGGTGCTACCTGGATAGTTGGGAAGGTCGGCTCGATGGCGAAGGCCGTGGAGCTACTGCCCTGCCGTTATCTCAGTGCCGTAATAGTTAACATATTATAAAAAAAATCATTATTTGATGAATGATTGACAAGATGAGTTCCAAAACATTGTTAAACACCTAGACCTTGGAAGGAATTAGTGAAAACGATCCCAAAAAAATATCAAGACTTTAATGTTTCAAGTTTAGCACTTACCGTACTTTTAGATAATAATGTAATTGCATTTTAGATACTATCGTTTGTTCAAATTATAATTTTTATTAGAATTGTGATTACTAATGAGGAGGGGAGCGGGGAGATATTGCTTCAAAACAACTGTTTAATAGAATAAAATAAAATAGAAAACTTTTATTAAATAATTAACAGAGTATAAGCAAAAGGTGTTTCCACTGACCCTACAGGGTAAAGGCAACAATAAACAAAAATAAATGATATCTTGAAAATTTGAAATACACTTAAGTATAAGCAACAAAAAAAAAAGTTTTTCATTTATTCCGCAGCCGCTATCGTGCTGGGAGCATCCGATTTGTGTAACAGGCATCTGTAGTCAAAACTCTACAAAATAAAAAAGAAGCAACCAAATGGGTCAAATAATTCCCGAGATAATCTTGGCACAGACAGACAGAACGGCTGCAAATGCGTTTTTCGGACTTAGTGGGCTCTGACAAACACAGAACCGTCGAAAACCACACATCTGAAATTTGACCCGATCGCAATACTTTCCATACATCGTATAGGTAGAAAAGTAAAAAGATTTATTTAATAAAAATGAAAATTCTTTATTTAAATAAAATTAAGTTTCTATGCAAAGTGAGGTTTTTATGAGCAATTTTTAAAGCCTTTTCAGACCCAGCGCTTATTAGAAATATATTTTTCAAAAGTGATTTTATTTTATTTATTTTTATTTTGTACAGGATTTAAACATTCGCCTTTATCTTCTGAGGTGTGTAATAAGGAGATAGAGACAGTAACAACCCCTCTCCCAATAATTTGAAAATCCAACAAGCTGGGAAATTTGAAATTCGTAAAACTCCAATGGAGAAAGTTATTCAGTTTACACAAAGAATTAATGAAATTTAAAACCAATAAAAATATCCTTAAAGTTAAAAATGCGGATTGAACCAATACTATGCGTTTTAATAGTAAAAGAAATATATTTTTTAAAGTATTAAAATTCGCGACAGGCAAGGGAAAAGCTCAAATCCAAAATGTAGAGTTGGGAAAATCAAAATGTTTACTATATGAATACATCTTATTTTTTAAAATTAAAGTTCGTTGAAATTTTTTTTTAATCATTAAAATTTGGTTCTGGTATTGAAATTGTTGTAAAAATTATATTTTCCTCCATCCATCATTATTATGTATTTAGTAAGTAGTAAATATAATAATAGTAACTACGAATATTTTTACAAAATTATCACCCTTCCATCAACACTGATGTCGGCGAAATTGCGTGAACTGCATGTGTTGTGTATTACCCAATCTATCAATATATTGCTTACCCAAAACTCTGTCCTTACGTGAAGTAAAATTCAGATTATAATTAAAGATCTTGCCGAAAGGAAATGCACATTGGGACATACTGTTATTGAGGTAAATGGATAGTGTCGTAGTGCAATATTACATGAGGGATATATCATCACCAAGTATGTAAAGATTTAAGTTTAATATTATACCTTACCACTACCTTTAATATAATACCTTATCACAAATACCACTAAACTTCCCTAATTGTTTTCAAAATTAAAATGCTTCGGATTTATTAATTTAACGTTAAACAAAAAGATAGATATATACATTAAATTTTAAAAAAATAGAGAAGTTGACTTGAAATGAGGGCGGAAGTACACGCCCGTTATTATTCAACTACTACCGGAAACATTAGAGTGATCCCTAATACTAATAACAAAAAGGAATTTTTATAATTCGCCAGAGACAGGGGGAACAAGGTTGTAACGCTAAACTGTCGGAGAGACGAGAACTGGTTTTAGACGACTTTACATACCGGCAACTTGTTTCATTTGACTAATAGTCGCTTCCACCGGCTTCTCTCCTCGTACTCTTTTAGCAATTGGCTGGTCCAAGCTTACTCAAAGTCCGTCAAAGCATCCACACATTGAACAAGTGATCGGGGATTCAACAAACGTCATCATCCTTTAGAAAATAAACATAGCTCATTTCCCTTCTTGCTACAACTTGACAAACTTAAATAAATGGTTCCATGTTAAGCCTACAAAAAATAATAATTATTAAGAAAAAAATCTGTTTATTTCTATATCTTGGTAAGACATGTAAAGAAGAACCATACAAGATTAACATGATTTATAGGAACGAAAAAAGACATGTTTAAAAAGTGAAGCTCATAGTAAAAGAATTAAAACATTGTCTAGAAAATGGACGCTTAAGTTGTGGTGAAATATGCTGAATTATCAATGCAGTTAAAATTCGTTTCTTTCGGTAATGAATGTGATTACCCCACAAATTAGAAAAATATACATAAATTTTCAACGGTCCATATTTTTTTTATGCGAATGATCTGTTCTTAATACTTTAATAATCACGATATGTACTGTTTTTGGAAATTATAACTCATATACAACTAGGGTGAACGTACCAGTAACGGACATGGTGCCCATTGATAGACAGGACTTTAAATGTAAATAATAAGCTTCTTTGTTTATCTAATGGTTCCAGTTTTTTCTTAGATTGAAAAACAATGCCCTCTATTGACAACGGTACGAATAAAATTCTCAACAGAAAATTTTAAAAGTGCCTATCGTATTGTTTCTATAGTGCTCTTAAGATCAATATGTTTCATACCTTCCTACTAACAGTTTTGCTAAGAGTAAGTTGGACATTTATGTTATATTATCTTTAACTTTATCTTTATAGTCAAATAAAGATTTTAGATTTTTTCTGAGGTATGTCCGTTACTGGTACCAACCCGCTGTCCATTACTAGAACAATTGAATTTCGTCACTAGTGCAAACATTTTTTTTTTTTTTTTAACGGAGATTATACCTGCATAACTGAATATTTTTTTAATTTCAAAATGTTAAATAGAAAAAGGAGGCCCTATAGA